CACAGTTGACCCTTCTGGCTGCCAGGGCACTGCTGACTAATATTCAACAGTGAATATAAATATTTAAATTGAACAATATGAATAAAAAAGTTTTTGCAAACTTTCAATTTCACATATGAAAATGTAAATCAAAGCAACAAAACAGAAAATATTTGTGTCTTGCGTGATCTGATTCAGAGAGTTGCTTGTAGTACATACATTTGTTTTGCTCTATGAAGTATAAGCAGAAAGAAGACAGTGGTGCCTCTATTCTCCGCATTCATCACAAAAGTTGGCAGGTGAACTTGAAAAATATTTTGCACTGGTGACTCTCTGTGAATGCTAATCCTTGTGGATCCTTACGGAACTCATAGGGGTTTTTTTGTTTGTTTGTTTTTTGTTTTTATTTTTTTAATTGACTTTGCTATTCTTTGAATAAACCTGAATGGTGAAAAACACAAAATGTAAACTTTCCATGAGCCATTTGAACCCATACAGAAATATTCATTGATGTAATGGACAGAAAGCATAATTTTGCTTATCTGTCTGTTCTCTTATCAACACAGACAGCAGAAGCTTACTGTCCAGCCCAAACACTGAGTCTCGGGTCAGCTGGATTAATTGGTGCTAATATAATTAGTGAGCACTGTGCAAGGTAACAAGGGAGAATATACACATCTCTTGTTCTCATTCTGAACCAGCAAACTGCTGAGTCCCATCTTTTCCTAACCCCAAGGGGCCTCTGCCACTCACAGCAAGTATACATGTAAAATGCAGAAAAGCTGAGAAAAGTTTATCATCAGAATAATAGATTTCAGACTGAACTCACTATTGCCTTCTAAAAAAACCCCAAAAGCAGACAGTGGTGTCTCTTCTTTCCTGCTGCTGGTGGTTAGTTCTGACTGGATGAAGAGTTCATGGATCAATCAGCACTGGAGAGTTTTCCTTTCCTTATAGCATCACTGGAGAGTTCTGCTGGAACAACAGTTCCACAGGCAGATCAAAAGGAGAAATTTAAGAACCTCACTAACTCTAGCTTTGCCCCAACTATTGACCTCAGTGCTGACAATTTAAGAAAGTTTGGGTAGTCAGAACTCTACTGTTATCTTTGCTATTATCTTTTTTCTTTTTTTTCCTTTTTTCCTGAGCACCAAGAGATCAGTGTGGGGATCCAAAGAAATGAAACAAATTAAACATCTTTGAGCTGAGAACGGTTTAATCTCAGTGCTGACTTTCACGAATTTTACAATCCAGAGAATTTACTCCAGGTGGGCCACATTGGCCAGTGTTGGGTAAGAAATGCCGCAAATCCAGAATGAGCTTAGTCCAACCCACAGATCCTATGAACAGATCTTCAGAGGGACTTCAGAATGCTTATGTCTTCCTCATTCCTCTGGAAATCTGGCTACTTAAAACAAACCCCTCATACCTCCAATTATTTACTCAATTTTTCAGTGCTTACCTGACAAGACTGCTGATAGCCTCTAGAGCGCACCCAGTGATGGAGCAGACATGCTTGGACAGAGCTGGGATTCATCACTCTTGCAAGTTCAGATGTTAGCATTCATAGGCTGGGGGTGAGTGCTACAAGGCCTCTGAATGTATAATTTCCATCAGCTCCACAGGACCCCTCCAAATAAGAAAAGCTTGTAGAATGGAACTGCAGGTGTTCTGCTTAGAAAGCCTGAGAGCATGGGGGATAACTGACTTTCCTAAATCACAGTTTATACCTATCCTCTGAAAAAAAAGTCTCACTTTGCTCAGAATCAAGGCTGCTATCATATTATGAAAAGCTCAGTGAAAGCAAAAATAAAAAGAAGTATCACCTAGCTGCTTCATTCACCTGAATATAATTCACTTTGTGCATAGAATGAAAGAGAAATCCTCTAAAAAATCCTTGAGCAAATAATTGTGTACACTGTCCTATTACATATGTGCCAGGGGACAGCAAGAAGTTGTATGAGCAAATCATTAAGTCCACCAGCAACTTGAAATTTCAGATCCTCCAACTTCCACATGGCTGACTCTGCAGCCTTTGCACAAGTCTTGTGATATAATGGCTAAAGTTGAAAATTCACACATCCAGCTGACTGAGAATTATGTTGCTGTAATACTGAGAAACAGGCTTAGCTTGGCTTGAATTACTTAGCCTTATGTGTTTGGGGACTTCTTGAATATATCTGGTGGGGGTAGGGTGCCTAAATCCCTTGTCAGAGAATTACCCCCAGATCAGAACTATTTCTTCTGGAATGAAATCTTGTGTCTCATGGCAATGGACCATGGAGCTCTCAAATGCAGCCTTTGCTACCCGCACAGTGACTTCCACAGATCCATATTGCAGAATTTTAGGACATTTTAACCCTTCAAAAATAGTAATTTGCTGGGAGCAAGGAAACTATTCTCCTCATATGAGGGTAAACTATACAGAATGAATGAAAAGATACTAAGCTCTTACCCTGGACTTCAGATCTTTTGCATCCTGACACCCTCAATGAGCTAACACTTCCACTGGAGTGTCCACTAACATGTCTGAACAAATATGTTCATATGATCGACAAAACAAATAAATATTTAGCTGGCTTTCTAATTCCCCGACTATTTTTTCAACTCATCATAATAATTCTGCGCTGTGGAGTAATAAAACCCTAAATCCCAAGTGGGGGTAAGAGAAAAACATTCCAGCCAGCCGACACATACATAGCTCCTTTTGAAATTCTCAAGGACTTTGTGTTTTGTTTTGGGAATGTATAACTGATGAAAACAAAGTCCTACAAAAGCAAGGTATTTCCAAACCCAGGTTTGCAAGCATTTCCTGAGCCATAATTTGCTGTGCAGAGCCAGAAGCTTTTCCAAGCAATTTTATATTGTGAAACAAAGTAGCAGTCTTCAAACAATCCCCAATATGACGAAGTGTTTGGATGTAAGCACATCATCTAAATATACATTATGAATTACTACTGTAAAAAGAACTTTATTTAGCTATCAATTCTTCTGCATTTTCAATACTGCAGTGGAAATACTAGATTATTGGCTGGCATTGCCTACTAGTGACTTATTTGTTCCAGTCTCACTCACTGGAGCTGAAGAAACTTAGATGCTTTTTTTTTCCCTAAAATTGAAATATTTTTTTAGCTAACAATGATACATTCTCTTTTTAACACTCCCACCATTGAATGTATTAGACTTGGTTGAAGTTCATAAATAATGACACTCACCCTACTTGCTGAGTTGCTGTGTTCTGCTGTTGCTGCCCTGAAACCTGAGGAACACCCATACAGTATCTGGCAGAGTAGGAACAAATGTCCTGAGCAATGCCTAAGAGTAATATCTCTGCTGATTTGCCAGGACTCCCAGTGCTTCTGGTCATTAATCTTCCTCAGCTGAAAACAGATGGGGCTATTAGGCAGGCTGGAGTAATGGGGGAAACTGGCAAGATAGAGAAGGAAATGCATTATCTTCTGGATAGAATTGCACATAAAAATGAGAACATTAAAAATGTATTTTTCATATTTAATTAGACGATGCACGATTATACCTACCAGAAAATAATGTGCAGTGTGCTTTGTGCAGGGCATTTATAAAACTGTTCAGCTGTGCTAGGCCCTTATTTTTCCCTGCGGAGAGAAACAGTAGCTACAATCCCGACAAGGTTTTTGTGCTTCTCCCTCTAACACAGAGCTTACTCTGCTGCAACAGCTACTGCAAATAACACTATGAAGTGTCTCTGCTTGTTGCAGTAAAAGGAAAATGCAGTTTATGATTTACCAACAAACGACATGAAGTCTACCAGTACTTTAGTGAGTATATGTCATATTCAGTCTAACAAAAGTGATGGAACTTCAGGTACAGCTGCTAAATCCTGATAAATCACAGAGTCCAAGACAATGATTATAAATGGAAAAAATCCGAAAATTGTGAAGTGGAACCAGATTGCTCACATAGGAAACTAGCAAGCCTGGAAGGAATTATTAAAAGTAAGGATTTGGGAAAAAAAATCTGATAGACATTAAGGACTACCCAGGATAAACAAAGACATTTTCTAGGTCTGCCAGATAGGCAGATGGTAGATGACCCTTAGCTAGAAATTAATAGGATGGAAAATACAGCCAAACTTTTGAAGGTGTTATATATATATACTGTGACAACAGAGAAAAATCATGGAAACCTACTAGAAGGTTACAATAAGGTATTAAATAAAGATAAGTGCTTTGCTCAAAACTTAAACTTGGAAAGCCTGTTATATCAAAGGGAGAAGCATGAAAACAAAACCAGGAGGACTGGGTGCCAGGCATCAGATTATTATCTGGAATAATAACTAAGCCTGAAATGTGGTGGGATGTCAAAAGGTGCTGGGAAATACACAGTTCAGGCTTTGGGACTTGAAAAGTTTTGAGTGACTCCTGTGTTTCAATGTTTTGTAATGGAGAGGGAAAAGGGAGACACAGAACAAAATGTGTCAAGATAAGAGCCCAAATTAGAGGAACAAAAGAATTTTTCTGATCCCTTGATTAAGAAAAGGTTAGCATTCAGAAAGGTTAAAGAGGAAAATACAAACTTTCAAAACCTAGTAGGGTTAAATTCAATATAAATTTAAAACAAAAGCCCTCTTTATCTTTTTAAAGGAAGAATTCGTGAGCCTAATTAAAAAGAACAGAAAAACTGAAATCCTCAAATTAAAAATGGAAAGGGCCTTATAAATAATCATGGAGTATTGTATCCCTTAGATGAATGGAAGACAAGGAAATGCTGATATTACTCAATTGGAAATTTTAGAAGTTATTCGGGTCAAATAGAAAACCTTCAGAGAATGGAAATAAAACACTGTAAAGCTGAAAGGAAGGTATGTAATAGTTAAGATGGAGTTTGAGGAAGCTAAGAGGGAGTCTGAAGAGCAAACAGTAGGAAGTTAAAGCTGAAAATGCACATTTGCTCAGTACACAAAAGCAGAAAAGTGGAGATATCTGGTAGGCCACCCCAAACAATAAGTAGAAGAAACAATTAAAGACAATAAGGACAATGCCAAGAATCTAAATGATTTATTTGCATCAGTCTTCACTGAGAGGGTGCTGGAGCGATACCTAAGTGAGAGACTCACACTTTCCAAATATCAGAGATAAGGAGAGGTCATAGACTGAAGACTCAAGAGAGAAGTTGGTGGAACAAAGCAATAAAACAAAGGCATTAAGTCACCAGGTTTTTCTGCTATTTCTTGATGATTTCAGGAGAAAACTGATAAATAAGTAACAAAATTGCTAGCAAATACTACAGCAGAGGACTGGAAGACAGTCAGTTATAACTGAGTTGGGGATTTTTGTTGTTGTCAGTGGTGTTTTCTTTCATGGTGTTGGAGCAGCCCTGGCAGTTACAGCCAGACTAACTCACTATTAGGTAAATTGGATGAAATGTACTAAAAAAACCTAATCCCCACACCTCTCAAATTATGAAGCACAAACATGACATGACAGATACAAATCAGTACAGTGTCTTTAAGGAAAAAAAAGGGACTTTTTGTACCTACTACCAATCTTTGAGCTGGTTACACCAGCCAGCACACCTAAACCTACCCCGGAGGTCCCAGAACTCAGTGTACACTCAGGCAAGTAGCAAATTATTACCTCCCCACTCCCCCCATCCTCATCACATGATCAGTGAGAAGAGAATAATGAGAAGAATGTTGATAATGGTACATACAAATAATATTCAGGTCCGTGCTACAGGCTGTGCTGCTGCAGGGTAAGGAGAAATGTACATCTGGCAATGAAAGTTTTTAATACTCATGAAACATAATGGTGGCCACACTGAAGCTCTGATTTGAGATTTTATGTAGGTATAAGCAGTGTTGGACTCTCTCAGGTCAGCTTTTGGTATCTTTCTGCACATCAGCTAATCAACAGGACTCTGTGCTGCAGGGTTCTTCTCATTCTGAATAAGCACAGTGACCTGAGCCCTTAATGGTGAATAATACGGGATCTGGGGAGTTAAGATTTTGGTTTTTTTAAAAGAATATATCTTAGCCAGAACTGAGCACTCACTTCTTCCCCACCCTTTCTAGCTTTTTATGTAAATCTTTACATGAAGCTATTAGGAAGAGAAAAAAAGCTCTTTGGAAAATTATGCAGTGATATATTCTTACGCAGCCAACACTCCCAGGAGAAAAAGAGAAAACTACACATGACTCCCGCCCCTTTTTATTTCTTCTCAAAGATGTTGCCTTTTTTGGATTTTCTTATATATACAGAGAATGATGAACTGGTATTTGTAGTTTAAATGTCTGGTTTAAACTGCGTGGTTTCCACCGTAACAGAAAGCTCTCACAAAATGTCAGGTTAGAAAAACCAAGCTCTAGAGGGATGAGATGGGGAGGAAAGTAGAAGGTCCAGTGGCTGAAAAACGAAATGGAAAAAAAATGAGCAGAACGCAATGTGGATTCATTTCCCAACTCAGGCAGTAGTATTGGTATGTGCGGTTGTACGGGGATCTGGGGTAGGGAGACAGAACACATTTCTCACTGAGTTGTTTCTGCTTTCTCTATTAACATTGCAACAGAAATTACAAATAGCCCTGCAAGGGGTAGTGCATTAAACCTCATTTCTTCATCCCATGTAAACACAACATTAATACTGAAGATAAAGAAAATGGCAAAAAGTCCAGTGTCTTGTTTTCTGCATTTTGCTTGTTAGGTTTCCTGTTCGCCCTCCAGCATACTCCTGTGTGTACCGATGGTGAACTTGACCAGTCCACGTTCAAGCAAACACTCACTCAGATTCCCAACACATTCTTTTCTCCCCCTCGAATGGGGAGTTTATTCCTAACAGTTCTGCTCCTTTTAATTATAAACTCCTTTAACGAAGTAGTTCTGAGACCTTGCAGCAGGCAGCAGGAGAGCACCAAGGCTACTAGTTGCCTTTTTACTAGTTTTTATTCCCTGTTCAGCAAAGTAGTCCACTTAAAGCCTAAGGCCCAGAGCCTTCACGTTTGGGCAGCACTGAAGTGAGCCTACAAATCAATATTCCCCTGGTACAATGTGCCTTATAGGTAAAATCCGATTCTTGCCTGAAAAAGATAAAGATAGAACCAGACCCTTTATCTTAAGTAGACACATGTGAACAAGTTGATCTGGTGAAAACAGACCTTACAGTGACAAGTTTTGTTCACTTTCTAACCGAGCTACTGATCTTCTTTACTGGTCCACCAAAATTGAAGATGGGGAAGAAACACAAGGGAGACATTTCCTTGGCAAGGAAAGGAGCAGCATTTAGGAGTGGGGCAAAGGCAGGGTGGGGTATAGGAGATTTTCCTGATAAAACAACTAATTTGAGAATAAAAGACCAACCGATATCATGTATACACCTAAACCAGTAACACAGCTTCTCGGGAGTGCAGTATTGTATAAGCGTCCCCTGTGTTTTCAAGGCTAATTCAGACCTTTGGCTCATCCTGCATTAGCAAGGTCATCCATGTTAACAGGGCCCCTGTGAAAGTTCACAGGTGAAAGTTCCCTTTTAGAGTAGTGCAGATTTGAAATTCACAGGACAGCGACCCGAAGATCTTCCTTTACAGATAAAAAGCATGTCAAATTATTAAATAGCAACATGAAATTCTATGTTCTGAAGGTCTGTCTTTGCTCTGCAGTTAAGAGAGCGGAGTGCATTCCCAGTCCCTGCCCAGTCCCCACCTTCAGTGGCATGGAGGGCGCTTGGCCGGCCCTACACGCAGACACCTCAAGAATGCTAAAGCCAAAAGGCCTGGGGTAATTGGGGAAGGGACAAATGAGCACAGTCCGAAGACATGTCACTTCAAATTTCTACTGTTAGAACTGCCAAGTATGATATAAAAACAGAAAGTATTTCTCAGTTCAAAATTTGATGACTGGGCCCCACACGATGAGTGGCTCTTCCCTCCGGTGTCCCTGTTTCCCGTACACGGGTTCTGTGGTGCTAGCTGTTGTTCTCTGCCGTGAGATATTTGAGGGCTGCAAAGCCGTAGTGGCGCGACATGTCCTGCTGGAACTCCTCCTTCAGGGTCTTGAGACAGATGCGGTATTGCTTGTTGGAGCGAAACTTGGTGATGTCGAAGCTGGGGGCGTGCGGCATGTGGATCATGTAGGCGTTGGGCAGCACCGTGAACTCGTACTCCTGGGGGAGAAAGACACTGACTGTGAGGGTGTTCCCCAGCCCTCTTGCAACGCATCTCTCCTGTACCTCCACAGTCAAACATGCTCCATTAAGTAACAGTGCAGTGTGGGTCTCAAAAAAACCAAACCCATGCAGGTATCTCAAATAAGCCTTTTTTTTTTCCAAGTAGCTTTTTCTTTGTTTGATGAAACATCTACTTTTTCTTTTTGTAAAATCTTAAGATGGTTTGGGTTGGAAGGCAACTATAAGGGTCATCTAGTCCAACTCCCCTGAAATGAGCAGGGACATCTTCAACTAGATCAGGTTGCCTAAAGCCCTGTTCAACCTGACCTTGAATGTTTCCAGAGATGGGGCATCCGCCATCTCTCTGAGTAACCTCTTCCAATGTTTTACCAGCCTCGTAAAAAAACCCAACTGTTTTAAAACATTTTACTTCATATAAGCCAAATAATGGGGAAACAGTACCAAAGGCACACCTGAAGCCATGTCTGCAGCACACACCTTGCAGTAGTGTGCTTGCAACCAACACAACTGTGACTACACGGCAAGGGTCTCAAGTGTCCGTGCAAAAACCTGGCTTTGTCCCTACAAATTATCTTGCTTGGGATGCTGGAATAAGCTATATTTACAAAGGCAAAACTGCACAACATATGTTGCTTTGCCTATATACTAAGATACTTACAGAGACAAAACTGTCCAAAACTATTTATAAACCTGAAATAAGGGGAGAAGATGGTATCATTTACAGGCGATGTGCGAAAATGAACCTGCTAATTCCATATGCTTTGAGATGGTTTTATGTAAATTAAGTTTTTCATGAAGTCTGAGATACTGTGCTACTTCTCCTTCTCCTGTAAAACTACTATACTAATTCTCTTTATTTATATCTGACCAAGTTCTTTGACAATTTTTGTTGTTAGAAAACAATGGTTCATTTAAGTCTCAACTACTCCTGTCAGAATCTTTCTATTTTTATAGTTAAATTATTAGAGTAAAGCTAGAAAAAGGCTGATCCTTAGACAGGATGAAAGTTCACTAGTTCACATCCTATGATGTGTAACAGGCAGGTATCTCCTGCAAGAAACTGGGTAGAAAAGGAATGTGAACCTCATTACTCTGTAGCCAAGCAAAACACTAACCACCAGGACGCTACTTCTTTTTTCGTACGGAACTTCAAGAAATCCAAGTTGTATGTGATGCAAATAACAAAGAAACTTTGAATTCCTCACAGGCAAATTTACTTTTGTTTTCACACAGTTTCTATCTACAGCTGTTGCTGGATTGACCCATTAACTATCTCTGCATAAGACAATGGTCAGGGAAAGAACAGCCACAGAGTACGCTGGCTTTAAAAGAAGTGGTGCACAACCTCCCCTGTTTTGCAATGCCCAGTCACCTGTAGATTTAGGAGTCTGTGCAGAGACACAGAGTATTTACAGTACCGAGGTAGAGTACTCCAAAATGTTTTAGTAGGGAAAGAGATTGTTGGGAGACAACAACTTGTGCTAATAAACTTTAGTGTTTCACCTGTCAGTCTTTCTTCACCTAACAAACTATGATCAAGGCACAGAAGACTGAAAGCTGCTGCATTATAATGCTACCAGAAACCAAGTGTTTGAGCAATACAACCAAAAAATGAAGCTAAATTAAGACAGGAAAAAAGTGAACAGAACACAACGTGGATCCGTTTCCCAACTCAGGCAGTGGTATTGGTGCGCCCAAAGTATAGCTAAGGCTGCAGTGTCTTCCCAGAGTCACCTATAAAGCAGTAGCATGTGTTGGACAGCTAGGAGCAGATGCCATATGGGTGCTCCTTTCTCCATATGAGAATGCCCATTACCTGACAGACAGTGCTAAAGAGGTAAGTCTTCGTGCCAATTTACAATGTTGTCATAAATGGGAATGGGGCACTGAGCTTCTGTATAACAAGAGCAAAATAATCTCATGCTCACAGGCAGAATTTATTTAGTTGGAAGATGCTTAAAACTAATGGGGAATTAAACTCAACAACAAAGGCTGGCACCATGGAGTGAGGAGAGCTGATAAACCACAAACTATGTCTCTAAGGGACCTTAAAACTAAGAGCCAAAGCTGCAGAGGAAGATGCATCCCCCTCATACAACCTTTTCTTTGTTCCCTGCTTGCACCTCAAGTCTGTAATACTGCAGGTCAGGGAGTGTCTATGCTCTGCAGTGCAAACTGTTCAGCACAGCAGTGTTCCATCCCTCTAAAAGGTCTTCAGGCACATAAAGCCTTCCAAGAAATGATGAGTCTGCTGCTAATAATCCCCTTTGAAATATGCTGGGCTGGGGTCCTGGAAAATGGGATGCTCAGTCTACTTCCACAGTGACTGGAAGAGCAGAGAAAGGTTTCCTAATGATCCATCCCTACTATGTGGAAACCCCTGTTGAGAAGGCAATGCAATAACCTAGCTCACAGATTATAAATTCTTTAGATGGAGACTCATATATTTGTATTTGGATGCTGTATTTGTACAGCAAAATCCAGCTCAGTGGGCACCTGCACGCTCCCAGAATAACAATGACGATTGTCTCCATGTGGTGTGCTACTCTGAGGGACAGCAGTGGCACAGGCCCTTGGTAAGGGGTCTGGAACAGACCTTTTGACAGGCACTCCAGTAGTGAGGAGCAGTGAAATAACTTAATTGAGAAGCTGCTCTGCCCACTGGTAATGAAGCCAGTCAAGCAGCTGGCAGCTGTGTCTGTGGACACCCTAAAGCACAGGAATACCACAGGGGAAGGTAGCTGTGCGATCCCATGTCTCCTCTAGGGTGATCTTGAGGGAGAATAGGTGGACACTCATGTTGCTACAGAGGAAAATGAAACTTTTTTTGAATGTTATAATGTGTTCAAGGCTGGAAGAGTGAGAAGAACAATTTCCCAGAGTTAGTTCCAACCTGGTGACCATTTAAAGTATCTGTGCTATGATCAACTATGAAAAATGTTTCAATTTCCCACATGTGAATCTCTGCTGAGCAGATCTCTCTGTACAGAAGAGTTAAATCCTGAGTGCTACGTGAGAGCTGCCAGTGGGAACATAAGCCTTGTTACACAGATTAACAAATAATAAAAACTACCCTGGCACTCCCCACAACTGATGGTAAATTGATTAGTGTTTGGAAAGTGCACTGGAAAATTACATTGCTATAGCAAATTATTATTAACATTAATATAAGGGACATTTTTTTCTCAAGATAAGTAGGTATAAATTTGTTGGGAATACCCTTCTGCAAACAGAGGGTGAGTGGCTGCCACCCCAAGGTGACCATGTAGTTTTTTAAGTAGAAGTAGAAAATATCCTTCCCACTTATGTGCCTGCACACAAATATGCTGTAGCCCACAACCCAGAGACACAATCTCCCACTAAGTTGGTGCATGCCTTGTGCTGTTCTGCTTCACATAAACTAGTAAGAATTGAGCAGAGAAGGATCAGCTGTATTCCAGATTCATAGCAGAAGGTATCACAGGAGGATACCAAAACCTATGGTCAAAACCTATTTTTTTAATTAGCATGAAATTCTACAAGTTCAAGCATTGGGATTGAAACCAAACTGAAAAAACCCAGCACAAACCCAAACTAAAAAGGAATGCCATGACCCAGACCTTGCTGATTAGCACAGTTGTTAGCTTCAAATCCAAGAACAGCAAGGCAATGTAAATCCTGCTATTTCAGTGAGCAGCAGCACTGGGATCCCATGGAGCCATAGTCACTGCCAGCCTCTAAGATCCAGGTTGGTGGCACAGACCTTGGCAGCTCTGAGAGCTCTGGTGCCAGTCTGGGACTCCTGACCTTTCTCTGCATCTGTATTCTTATAAATTCTGCCCCGCAGCTTCATTCCAAGTCACAGATCCAAGAGGCAGGTAGCCCAAGGCTTAAGTACCTGGATCCTTTAAAGTCTGCTCCACAGCCCCAGACTTCGGAAATGTAAAGACTTTGGCTATTCAGATACATGCTGTAAATCCCAGCCAGAGACTGAAGATGCTTGCCTTGGATTCAATTGAAGATTACTTTTTGAATTCTACATTAGCATTTGGGACTCACCAACCTCTGTCTAACTGAAAAAGATCCAGCTGTGTCTGCAGATTCCCTACCAAGTGATGGGACTGGCAACAAGTGCTGCAATGCTTCAGTCAGGAGGAGGGCACTGCAGGGGTTGTGTCACTGCAAAACTACTTTCTCAGCACTGATAAATAAATTAGACTTAGTTCTCCATTTAATACTTGACAAGGATTAAACTGAGTGTTCACAACTCAAGAACCATTCATTAAGGAGCTCAGTATGGCCGGGTGAGCACTCTGGTGATGCAAAGCCTAAAGTCTTTCTACAAGGCACAGATTTCATTTTAACAACCCTGCTGCACAGCCCTGGGTGAGATACGCAGGTGTCATCTCCTCACCTGTGCATCCAGCTCCATGATGTGAGCTACTTTGTTCCAGCCAAATCCAACAAACCGCCTGTCATACTCCGGGCAGTCCTTCCTCACGACGACGTATGGCTCAAAGTCTGCTTCCCACTCAACGCGGTAGGGGGTGGTGGCTGTTCGCCACTTGGCAAAATTGGTTGGCGCGTGCCCTTTCGTCCAGACGTGGTACCTTAAACAGACATAAATGGCAGGGACGTGGGGAGGTAATTACATAGAACACATCTTGGCAAGGTAACAAAATGTTACTCGTTAGATGAAATGCTCAAAAATAAGGACATTAGCTTCCAGTTCACATCATCATTTTCAGGACAAATCGGAGGCAATTTCTAGGACTATTTCCAGCACGCTTCCCAGAGCTCAGCGCTTAAACACCTCTAGTCGGTGAAGGATAGTGTGAAAACACTACCTCATGCTAATGTGAGAAACAATTACAAAGTACACTGACATTCATCTGCACTACAAAGTGCTGTGTCTTGCTCCTGGCAACCAAGCGGTTGTATCGGTCGGTGCTCTAAAATCACTGTGAAAATCTGTAGCTCAGATAAGGTCCTTAAAATTACCTATTTCTACACCACAGTGACATTCATGATCTGTTTTATATGCCATTTTATAATTTGCATGAGAGACACCTGGTGCTCTGGATAGATGTTCCGTTTTATTAATTACTGCCATTATTATGGCAGGAACCAAGATACATAATTAAATTAATAAGTAAAATATCACATAAAGGCTTTCTGCTGTACATTCTACATTGTGGGAAGTACTCCTGTGATCCTCAGTAAGGTAATCAATTTGATTTACAGAAAAAGATCCTTTTATAATTCATTAATCTTGTTCAGGTCACAGCAGGTCTCTTCCTAGCACTGCTTGAATCCACACCATTAGTGCTAGGGTCAATGACTCTCGCCCACTTACTTAAACACTTTCTAAAAATCAACTAGACAAGCTCTTTCTGCAGATTAATAGATTAAATAAAGAAACAAAGGTATAGCAGTTATCTGTATTACAATACTGAGAGATACGCAACAGAAGGGACAAAACAAATATCCTGCCAGTTTGTAAAGCAAGGTACATTGAATTCACAGGGATGACTCATATGCTAAAAGTGAAGGTATTTGAGCATTAAATATTGCAAGATTATGACCTGAGGTAATGTTTCAATCCCAGAAATTCTTGTAACATTGTGAGCCATTGCTAAAAACAGGGATGTAAAATCACCGCCTAGGAGTTTGCACTTGAACTGTATATTCATATGGTTAGTAACATAAACACAAATGTGGTTCAGCTCTGCTCACTGTCCATGTTCAGGGCAGTGCAGGAGGACAGAATTATTAGGATAGCACAGGGGTCCGAAGTAACATATGGTCCTTTGTAGGCCGCATTTCTAAACTGTAAACAGGTTTCATCACTTTTAGGTATCTGCCTTGGGGACCTGGAAAAACAAAACCCTTTTGTATTAAAAAAACTGACAGAGAACTAATTCTCCAGATACTACTAGAAAGCAGTGCCAGATTCACAAAAATGCTTACAATCCCTTAAGGTCCTTTGGAATCATCTCCAAAAAACCCAATCCTTCTCTTGGCCTCTTTTGGAAATGAGTGCGTAACCTACCCAGTCACTAATGTGCAGATATCTATGCAGAAAAAAAATACAATCACAACGCGGGGTTTAAAATGATATAGCACTGTGGAGGGTGCTCAATCTTCTAAAATCCTACCTCCGGCATTTTGAAATTAATTATGATAATAATAATAATAATGACTACTAAACACTTATGAAGTGATTTGTATCTTCAAAGCCCCATATAAACTTTAGTTAATTGGGAGATTTCTGCAAAGAAGCAGTCAAATGCTGCTGTTTTTCTAGTAACACTCTCCCACTGATTTAAACAGGGGGTAACAGTACACTAACCACAAAAGAAACTTCAATTTCTTTCCACTCTTTTTGGAGATATCAGTGTAAGCACTTACAGCAGCTCAAGTATAACCTCTGTGAGCCAAGAGAGCTAACTAGCAGGGAAAAATAAGTAATAGTGAAAAAACAATGAAGGGAAAATATGGAATTGGGATTGCACAGAGAAAACAAAGCAGAAAGGAAGGAACAGACCTGACTGTACAAAACAACAACAGAGATTATTTACTTGCCTCTGCAGAGTAACTGATATGAGTGAAGGGAAAGAGGAAGGCAAAAGGATGGCTAAGGTTAGGACAAAAAGGAAAACGAGTATGGGATGCTCAAATTAGCTGTGTACACACCAGCTATAAAGGAGTAATTAAACTGAAAACAAGAATTGTGAGATACATATGTATCTGTACATACAATATACATGGGCTTATATATAGATATATACACACACACATACATAGATAACTTGCTGGAACTAGGACTTGGCCGATGGCTGATCACTGCATGAAAGCTACTGCAAAGTAAGATAAGCAGACACCGTTGCCTGGATGTCCATATAGAGGAAGCTGCCATCGAAGGATGAGTTGTTTTCAACAGACTTTACTATCGGTGAAGCAGTTGTGAGAAGTGGTTCCCTGTCTATATATGTCTTCCATCTCACAGGACAACTGAATAAATGCAATTTTCCTGCTCAGGCCCTTCTCACTCAAGACTTAAATACACACTGAATTTTAAGGCCACACTCAAACTCACTGAGTCCCTAAAGAACTTTGTGAAATTGTGAACAACGTATTTTTCACTATGCTGGCAGTTTTGACAAATCCAAACCAAATCATTTGATATCCGTAAAATGATTATGAGTTTCTTTCCCACGGTTCATAGAAAACAACTGGAACACACCACACCCCTTCCTCCTCCACTTTGCACCAAATGTTTCATTTTCCTTGCATTATTGATTGCTTAATTTAAAATAAAATGTGAAAACTATAGGAAACTTTGCTAAAGTTAGCAAAATGAAGTAATTACTCTTCTCAGAGTGTTATTCCTCCCTGTATTGTCCCTCTGAGCTTCCTGTTACAATGAGAAAGATGACTTGGTGAAAGAAAAACTTCCCGAGTCCTGTACTCAGATGCTTAAACTTAAATTTTGCTGGATTGTGGATGCAATCAGTTAATTGGCTAATCAGTTGTTGCTTTTTATGTTTTCTCAATACGATGATGTGTCTTCTACCAGCTGTGGTTTCCCTTGTGCCTGAAAGTGTGTCGATGGTACATCTGTGGTTCATCAGCTATTACCCAGGCACTGAGCAGGCACATCCTTGTGAGGCACACTCACAGCCAGCACCTGCAAATGAAGCCAGCAAGCTGGCACAGAGTATCCTGCTGTCACAGAGGGTTTCTACACAGCACACCTTGCTCACTGCAGATGCTCACATGTCTTCTCTTCTGGTGGTGACTAAGGGATGTAATTGAGAGCCATTTTGTACTTCTTAGCTGCCCAGAGGTAGAAAAGGTCACTATTTGGAAAAGAGGTGACAAAAGCAATTTCAGCAAGGGAAAGATTGTAATCTACCGTGTGGTGTGAGGGACTGGGATGCTGCAGGCACTCTCAGCAATCACTGTCACAGCAGTCCTCCCCAGTTCACTCCCACACGGTCAGCCACAAATTGCAGCATTATTAAAGCACCTTGAAGGTGGAAGTGGAAATTCTCAGCCCAGATCACAGTTGCTTTGTGGCTGTTGATGGATTTGAGCAATGAAATGAGCCAAAACAAACTAGGGAAGCATTTGTAAAATGTGTACTACTTTAATATGTACACCAGCTGCATGTCCTTCAATTCTTATTTAACCAGCCTTGTTCTGGCAAAACTCCCACTGATGTTAAAGACATTTTTGCCTGAGTGAGACTTGAGAAAGGATTTGGAAATCTAGGTGTGTATGTAACACACCAGCATGCTGTATAATTTGAAGATGAAATCTGTAGTGGAAGGCCACTGCTGTGCAAATTGAAAATTTGACTGTTGGTGGAATGCAACATCTGAAAATCCTGAGGGAGTTATTTTCCATTGGAAGGATTTTTTCTTTCAACTACGGGAGAGACAACTATTTTCTATCAACAGATCTCTTGTTAATTTTTACATCTTTTGACTGTAAAGAATAATGGTAGAGTGAAAGTACTTGCTCTGTCAGTATCCTTAAGTAATTTTCCAGAGGCATGCCTCACTCAGTCGCATCAACTTTCTATTTCAAGGCAATCACTGGTCTGACTTTCAGTTTCAAGGCATCAGAATTATGTTTTCCAGACTCACACAAGCTGTCTGCTATGATGTGCATGCAACCACATGAGGGAAGGGTGGTTGCTGCAACAAGAGAGGTGTGTAATATAAGGAATGGAAAAAGTGTGAGGAAAGCTCTAAAGTAAGAGAAGGATGGGAGAGGTGATATAGAGCTCCACCAGCCATGGATAATATCTAGCTTTTTCATAGCTTTTATCTCTAGATCTCAAAATACTGTAAAAAGGAGAGGTGAACATTGTTACCTGCATTTCAGAGACGGAGAACAGAGATGTAAGAAAGTAAAGTGATTCGTGTACCACCTCCCAGCAGGGCAGTAGTGGAACTGAGAAGAGAACACAGGTCTCCTAAGCCCCCTCTCTGTGCAACATCATAAGGCCATATTGTACTCTTCCCATCACTGAGATGCTTTACAAATCTCTGCTAATCAGACCTTACCACACACCCCCAAGAGACAGTTAACCCCTGGTAGCTGCATTTTGAAACTGAAGAGTCTGGCAGATAATAGAATTGACTTGTTCACAGCCACAAAAGGAGTCTGCTTCAGAGAGGAGCTCCAAATTTAGGTGTTCTTTGCTTCTTAACTTCTAGTCAGAGTACTCTTTTACGTCTGCATAGAGAAACTCTAGGTATTTAAGCAGCTGTTTCACACTTTAAAAGAGCATATGGCAAGCTTGCATTTGTTTTTCCAGTAAGTCAGTAAGGAAGAGAACCAACGAGCAGAGATACAGAACTTTTGCTCACATAAGAAGACACAGCTATCCAGACAGTATTTGGCAGCCAAAAAGTAAATTACACGCCCTTGAGTGTAATGGTCACGCTTGATTTTGTAGTGCAATAAAATATGATGAAAAAGAACAAATTCAATTTAACAACTGAAGTCCTTCAGTAGAGGACTATAATACTAGATAAAATTCTGACCTTACAGATGGAATATATCCACATATGATTCTGTTCACTACCTCTCTATGAGAATGGAAAAAATTCCAATAGGTTTCTTAATGGAGCTGACAGTGAGAGAAAAGAATCAAATATTCACAAGAACAGAAAAAATAATGACCACAGGTTCAAAAGTACTTTTCATTACCTGAATGTGAAGAGGGTTCCCATGTCCAACATAGACAGCAACTCTGCTTTTGACTTGGGGAAGGAGAGGCGGTAGCGTAGGGTCTCAAAAGCAGGTACAATTAGAGCTTTCTTGGTGTTAGCTAGGTCTAGCTGGATGACAGACTTCCTGGCAAAGAGAAACAACAAATAAAAGCAGGAAAATGTTAAATTGAGCAAATCACTTGGCTTTTCAAAATAAAGTGCAGAGAATGGGCAGATTGATATTGTAAATGTAACTATGTCCCATAATTTTCCTCAGGGGTACTTCATATTTCTTCTGCTTTTGGTTCACTGCTCTAAAAGCAGGGAGAAGAACAAAGTTCCAAATGGGCTTGTGTGTTTGACTGATCAATGCTGCCCTGCATGTCCATGGGTGCATAGATCAGAAACAGCACTCAAAGCATGGCCAACTGACCACCACTTTAAGAGAAATATACTTGAATGTTACTACAGATATGGGAAAGAGCTGCACAGCCAATAGCAGCTCTAAAAAACTGGGATTTATCCAGGACTCAGTGCCACTTCACAAAAGGAGAAGCTGGAAAGGTTGGTTGCGCTTCAGCCTAGCTCTTCTCTGTGCTACGCTGTGCCATCATCCTTGCTTTTTATCTCTGTATGTCCTGCAAAGTGAGTGTTACCTTAATACCACTAGGGACCAGATACTTGCTCTCAAGAACACTGTTGCCATGATGGTCAGTCATTGTTCAAGGCACAGATCTACTGCAATAGGACACAGCACCAATCAGCAAAACTGTACTTCAGCAGTGAGTATTATCAGTGGTGCACATGGCAGTGCCTGGAGATCAGAGCTCATTTATGCTTGGCTCTGTGCACAGGGCAAAGAGACTGTTGCCAGCAGAGAAAAGCTGTACACTGGATAGACTGAGATATGTTGCTTTTTCCTTTCTTTTGCTGAAAGTTATTCAGTGCAGAGACTGTTTTGGTGTATGAGTACGTGTGTGCACATATGCATTTTGCACAGCGGGGCTCTTTTCCAGACAGAGGCCTTAGGATGACTGTCACAGGAGAGGAGTAGCTTAGTAACCTCTCACCCTGCCTGCCAGAGGTGTTCAGTCTATTCTTTCCTAACAAACTAAAACTCAAAGAAAAAAAAGTTACTTTTCCATCCCCCAACTGAATCTTACTATGCTTGTCATTAGAAATAACTCTGTTTCAATTTTCCTTTCATTATCCCCATAGTTCATACAAGAAATATGCCTCTCTCTCCCTGTCAAAATCAGTTCCCCTTAACAGGATTCACTGTCCTGACTTTCATGTTACTGCAACAGGCAATCAAGGACAATGTTGACTAGCAGCAAACTCTCTCTACAGCATTCTAATTTGAAGGAATTGGGATCACTGTCCTAATAACAGAAGGACCAAATAAACCATTTTTCTATGCCCAGAATACCTAGATTTCATTTATATTGCTGTCAGAGAAAAAGAAGAAGAGCATGACTATTTAATAAAATCTGAATTTTAGAGAATTCATACCACCCTATAGGTCTGCTCTATAAAAAGCAACCTGTTCTCAGCTTCTTACTGCAAAGTTTGCATTGTTTACAGAGCCTCTGACACATTCCAGTTAACTTCACAATTCAAGGATGTTAACAGCATCTTATTGTAGCTGGTTTTGTACTTTCTTCACTAGCTTCTCCCTCACTATCACTAATGACCACAATATATGCATGTAAATAGATGACTCCTTCACAATCAGCCTTTGTGACCTTCCAGAATTGTTGAACATTGCCAGTATATAGCCTTTATGATGTTTTCAAATGTTTCTTCCCCTTCACAACTTCTCTGAGAGCAGGGGATACTGATATAGTTTCTCTTCCAAAATCTGAGGCTTTCTGGTCTGTGTGCAAGCTATCAGACTTAAGCAGCACAGCTTTGGAGATTCAGTTCTAGGAAGGAGCAGGTAAAATTTGCAGAACCCTTTGGGCTCTGCAAGGAAACAGGAGCTTCCATTTATGGCTGTTACTATACGTTTGTTTTATGGAGAGCTTGAAAGTCTCAGGCAAAATTCAAGGCCTTGCTGTGCTTGGTACTGCCAAAGAGCAGGATACAACCCTGCCCACAAAAGTTTACAGTCTGAAGGTGACCAAAGCTGAAGCAGGCACAGGTAACAAGCACAGATAACAGCAGAAATTGTCAGACAAAGCAAGCTGTGTTGAAACTAGTACTGAATGTGACTTACTCTCTAAGGTATGGGATTCAACCACAAAAATTTTGTGGATAGCAACAATCTTTTCTGCACGCTCCCCTGCTCTTGTCACCTGCAAATTTCATACAGACGTAAATGGCCAAACTGTTCGAAAGAACAGATGACAGTAACTTCATGAAGAAAATCCCCTGGACAGGGGAGAGAAAATAAGATGGAAAACAACTCAGAAGTTGAGATAAGGCAGTTTACTAAAGTAAAAGTGAAAGGTTGTGAGCGCACAAACAAAGAGAAAAAATATTTGTTCTCTACTTGCCATCAGCAAGTGATGTTCAGCCATTTCCCGGGAAGCAGGGCTCCAGCACATGTAGCAGTTTCTCCAGAAGGCAAACCTTGTAAATAATGAACGCTCCACCTCCCTGCTCCTTTTCTTAGCTTTTATGTCTGAGCTGATGTCATCTGGTGCGGAACATACCTTTGGTCAATTTGGCTCATCTATCCTAGTTGTGCCCCCTCCCAAGATCTTGCCCACCCCCAGATGGAGGGCAGAATTCTGGAGAGACAGCAGTGATGCTGTGCCAGTGCTGTAGTCTCTAAAATACTGGTGTGTTATAAACACCCTTCTAGCTACCAAAGACAAGCACAGCACTGTGAGGGCTGCTATGGGGAAATGAACTCCATCTCAGCTAGACCCATTAGAGGTGGTAAGGTCAAAGTGGAGGGGCTCTCCAGAATGGAGCTAGGAGTTGAGACATGCTCAGACAAGAAGTTCAGTAGCACTGACTTCTGAGTAGAATCACCTGCCTTTGATGTGCACCAGGTGACATATAAAAGGAAGAAGCAATTAGTGCTGACATCCAGGTGTTAAACCTCAGTGACAAAGGACAACAAAGGACATTTAAACTGCAATTTAAACTGGGAGGACGTGGTAGAGAAAGAAACACCTTCAATTTTCTTCTGGTAACTTGGCTGGTGGTTTGTTTCTTGGACAACCAGCTGAAACTCTCTTCCTACTGGAAGCAAATCTAACTTCATTTTCTGTGGGGCAACTTTTTTTCCTGTTTTGAGTGGGGGTGCCATTTATTGGTTGACTGGTTTTGAGATACTTCGAATAGGAAAATTTTCACTGTTGGTGTTGCCAGGTATGTGGAATATAATGTAGGGAATTAGATTTGGTTGTTTTGCAAACTAGCACTGTAATTCCTGAACTATCCTTATAAGGGGTGTTTTTTGGATTTAGTAATATTGATTCAGTATTCGTTTTCCTTTATCTGTCCTTTTCCTCCCAAACCCCAAAATAATGATCTGTGATTTTATGAAGAGCTCTCTTGCCCAAGAAACCATTTCCCAAGTATCTTTGTGTTCAGACCTGATGTATGTCATTCTGACACAGTGAAGGTTGGGTTAAATTTTAAATCTACAAGTCAACTGTATTTTTTGCAAAGCAGTGAAGAAATGAATCTTAAATCACAAGAGTTTCCTCACGGGTTGAATGAACTGCAGCACGTTGATATCAATCTTCTCATCTTTGTACTTATTTTTAAAAATTAATACAGAATTCTCATCCTCATGGAGACAGATTGTAATATCATTCCTATTTCTGGAGGATAGAGAAGCTCAGACACAGGAAGAGCAGCAACCTAATCCTAAAGCACTGAACTCATGAAAAAAAAAAAAGGAAAAAAAGAGTCCATTAATTAAAATTAGCTTCCACCATCAGGACTCAGTAAGTGGTTGGTTGGAGATAACAAACACAGCAGTCACAGAGCTTGTGGTAAGAGTTGTCAATCCACTGTTAAAATCATTAGAATGCTTTTTCTCTCTGCAATGAATGCATAGCCTACAAAGGCTATCAGCAAATAAAAACCAATAGGCACAACCTGAACTATGTCTCTTGCTGAGATGCTGAAAAACAGCCAGAAATACTTCACAACTCATGTTGCAGAGGACAGGTATAAAACCTGCAGATAGAGATTGGATGCCAGGTCCCAATTCATGCAAAATGTGTCACTGGAAGCAAAGGGCATATTTTACACAAATGTGTCAGGAAAGAACTTCAATGTTAGCTGTGATAACTGTAGATAAGCAGCCTGTCTAGTAATTTTATGTTAGAAGTCACTGTAGCTTGCCCCTAACACCTTACTTGTAGCAACTAGAAGGAGCCTTTACCTCTGGGGCCATGACAAGATGACCTCAGTAACTAATGAGGGAAGGCAACAAAAGATGTTGACTCAGCACAGACCACGAAAGTGTCTGAGTTCCGTAAACAGGAAACCTTTAAATGATACATTTCTTTCCTTTTGTACTTCACAGAAGAGCAAGGCAGGACTAAAAGGCTGTTTGATGGAGATAAAAAACATTGAAATGGTCTTAGCAGCTGTGAAAAAGCTTAAATAGCACAAATCCTAGTGCTAGCAAGAGATACACAAAAGGACAGGTCCATCAGCTCCATCAGCTTCTCCTTCAAAACTGGCTGTAAGCTTTCACATACGACACGTTCAAAGTACGCTGAAAATGTTTTTCAAAATTCCTTTCTTTCTGAGAATATATTATCTGCAGAGATACAATATGCAATATATGTAAATCAGCAAACTCACAGGGAGAGGGACTTTGGCTTATGCTGTCCAAAGTGATGCCTGAAATACCACACTATTTCTAGTTGTTTATGGTTGTTCTATCTGAGCAAATGAAGATGAAAATGTTTGTACATCTCTCTAAAAAACAGTCGCTGCCATTCAGACAGATAGCACTAATCAGTTACTTGCAGAGGCAGTGGGAACAGTCAATGCAGAAAGACACAGGGGTATCCATTTTTAAAATAATCTCACTGTACCTCCCTGCTACTTTGTTTAGAAAAATCATTACTGAAAAAGCAACAAAAGTCTCTAGTCCACACACAAAAAAATTCCACTTCCTTTTTAAAGAGCTGGTAGTAGCAGATTAGCAATTCCAATATTCCCAGGTAATGGAGAGTCACTGTCAGAGTTAAGGTGATATAAGCCTCATAAAAAGCTGTCAGAGTATCACAAAGTCTCAGATGCAACAGGTCTCAGAGAGAATCTGTTTTTTTTCTGAAACATCACCCATGGGTGGCATCACTGTGCATTTAGTTCTGTAATACATTTATCACCGTACGAGAATTATTTCTATGGTTCTAGTAACTCAATTATTCTGTCGTACATCATTCTATCTTCTTCCTTTTATTGCTGGCTCCCATCAGCACACTGTGAAGCAGCATGGAAGAGCAAGTTCCTTTTTTATCACTAAATATCAGTACCAACAGCTGCTACCCTTATTGTGTCCAGCATTGATCTGAAGAGATATAACAGTGTGCAGCACTAACACTGAAAAAGACAGAGAACTTAACAACTCTCCCTACGTGTATCTAGAGATAAATAATGTGTGCAAGGGAAATAATTATTTTGGAGTCCTCATAGCACAAGCTGAAATGAAATGTCCCTAAACTAAGAAGGAAACAAGGTAACACACTGTGATAATACTTCAATGATACGATTGATATCCAGAGTCTTAAAAGATAGAATGGTTTGGATTGGAAGGCACCTTTAAAGACCATGTAGTCCAACCTCCCTGCAGTGAGCAGGAACATCTTCAACTAAATCGGACTGCTCGAAGTCCCATCCCACTTGACCTTGAATGTTTCCAGGGATAGGGCATCTACCACCTCTCTGGGTAACCTCTTCCAGTGTTTTGCCATCCTCATTGCAAAAAACTGCTTCCTTATATCTTGTCTAAATCTACCCTCTTTTAGTTTAAAACCATTCCCCTTGTCCTATCTCAACAGGTCCTGCTAAAATGTTCGTCACTATCTTCTTATGTACTGGAAGGTTGTAATAAAGTCTCCCCAGAGCCTTCATTTCTCCAGGCTGAACAGCCTCAACTCTCTCATCCTTTCCTCATAGAAGAGGTGCTCCATTCCTGTGAATAGTGAATTTGGCCCCATACATGTCTTGTTAAGTTGTTAAGCCTGAAACAAAGAAATTCCTCCGTAAGTTTATGATACCAGAAGGTGTATTTTCCTTTACACTCCAAAACCCCGGGCTTATGAACTGAAAGGGAACACCTACAGGCAAGCCCTCACTGGAACACTTCGATCAACTTTCACCAAATTAGAACAGAGAGGAAAAGCAAAATAGTTCAGGACTAAGGAACTGATATCCTCCTGTCTGGCCACAGGGTGTCCTCCTTGCTCTATGCTTTGGCCTCAGATGACCAGCCTCTGCAGGGGAAAAAGGTCTTTATTAAAAAAAAAGCTCAGTTAATGGATCAGAGGTCTGTAGTTTGCTCAGCCGAACCTGCTCACATGCATTATCATACAGTGTACACTGATGTTACTCCTCCCAGTTGCCTTATGCCCATTATTTTGCATTGACAGGTGCTGGTATTGCAGTCATATTTTTGAGCTGGTTAGACTCACAACCTCCTTTCAAGATAAGGAACTGGACTAAGAGAGTGTCCCAGACAAAAAGTTCAGTTATGCTTTGCATGTTTTTTCTGTCACTGACTTTAAGAACGAGGGATGTTTAGAGAAATCGCTGGGTTCACATCTGCTAATACATGATGCTCTTGGACATTTAATAGTACTTAATCCAGTTCAATTTTCAAATTGATTCTTCTGCAGCTCTGAGGGAATTATTCTAATGGCTAACAGGGATCATATTTAGACGAAAGTTTCTTCTTTCATAACCATATTGCTTGACTTCCAGTGACAGCCCTCTTCCTTTGCTCTAAAAATTCTTGTGCACTGATGGGCATTCTCACACCTCAAACCTCTACAAGCTGCTTCTTTCAGATGTGCTCAGACTGCTTTGTTTTGATAGTACGTGAGAAGGGTGGGGCGTGGAAAGGCTGAAATTGCAGGTGACAGTGGTAATCGCTCCACTGTCCATTTACCTGAGGTACTCGTAGAGTCCATACATGGGCAAGAAGTCAATGTCAGACAGAAACATATATGGTGTGCTGATATGTTTCATGGCCACATTCCTTAGCAGATTCACAGGATAGAACTGGCCCTCCTTGTACACGATATGGTAGCCAACATTGTGGCGGCTCATCAGTACTTCTGAGCCCTGAGCGTAGCGCAGAAATTGCTGGGCTTCTGCATCAGAAAGATAGAGTGCCAGGCTGATTGGACCTTCCCAGTGTTTGCAGATGGCTTCAAGCATCTGGAGCCTGAAAGAAGAAGAGTGAGAATGAGAAAAACTATCTCCCTGTCTGGGACTCTTTCCCTGGGTTCATCTGATCAAATGCAGATAACCTTCTCTAAGTGAGACAGACTGGGGACATTTTATATGCTGTGCAAAGCAATAAATATTTCCACAGCACAAGTCATCTCATCTAAGATGACAAGTTGATGTCTCCTGGGCAGATGGACTGTACCCCAGATATGCCTATTTCACCGAATCCAAGGGAACCTAAGATGGCCCTAGCTCAGATGCACACATCTACAACTCAGATACCTAAAGCTTGGTGAAATCAACACTGTTGTTTTCTGCCTAAAGCTTTGATGCTGCAGGAAAACCCACATGGATGATGGTATACCCAGATACCTGATGGGAGTTTTGAGCAGTTGCAGGGATCTGTCCACCTGGATCTACTTACAGAATAGGGGTCTTGTAATCTTCAACAGTGTCTAGTGCCCAGTTCACATCTCAGGTCAACCTATTCTTACACAGTAACATACCACATCGTTCTACAACAAGCTTGTGGAAGATAGAGGTGTACAGAACCACAGATCATTTTAGGAAAACCTTCCCCAAATTTTCGTAAGGCAGTTAGTCATATCCTAAAAGCTGTTAAAAGTGACAGGTCAAGGGAATACGGACTTATGTGAACATTTACACTAGCTAGAAGACTCACTATCAGGGAGAGGGCAAAAGGATGGTACACTGATAGAAATAGGATTTACTTTTAATAGGGAGTAAGGAGGGAAGGAATGAGAGACATGGCATTGCTGTGGAATATGAAAAGAACATTTCAGACAAAACCATCATTAAAACTACTAACTTGTATATGTTTTAACAGTATCTCAAATTTCATTAAATTATTTTTAAAACAGGTTGTATTGATGTATATTTAAAAAAAATTCCAGCACTTAAAACACTATTGATGAAAATGACAACAAAAGATTTCATATGCAAACATAAATCAAACCCAGCCCGGTCCAAATTGTTTAAGCACTTTGGATAATTCACAGAGAATTGCCTAGGGATTGAGATGTGCCCCCCAAAAATACAGTGAGGACTGATTACAAAGCCTCTTGAGTTAATACAAAGGGAAATGAATCTGTGCAGCCTAGCCAAACATTCTATTAAAAATTAGGAAGAGTAGACCATGCAAAATTATTATCTTCTCTCCGTTTGAAATCCATGACTCGATTTTTCCTATTAATATTTATATAAAACACAAGAAAAGTTTTCTGCATCATCATAATCAGAGAAAATAATTTCCCCTTTCTACTATCTTCCTAAGCTTTACAAGAGAAAGAAATTATATACTCATACCAGTAAACACGTAGTCTGACTTAACATTAATAGCTTTTTCCTGCATTTCTGAATGATCGTGATGACATCTAAGGTGATATAATATTTTTTTCTTAAATATGAGATACTGCCTCTACTAGTCTACACTTGGTACATTACTCTCTTTTTATTTATTACTGAAACAAAGGCTATTATCAACCTGAAACATACAGACAAATTTGAAACACAAATCAATTAAAAAAAATCTAAAAAGTATGGGAAGGCTTTAGACTTTTAATTACACTAAAAATAAACAGAGAAAAATACTTTTTCTTTTTTTTTTGCCTTTTTCCAACATAGTGAAAACCTATTAAACAGGAGACTCCAATCATCAGCACTCAGATTTAGGGAATTGTTTTAAAAATGCAATACTTGCCTAGTAAAAAAATGCAGCAAATTGCCTTTTAAAGACTCCACGTGGTGGACAAATGGCATTCAAAACTTATTTAAACAGCACACCTGATAATGCCTGCAAAGTTTTTCGTGAGAGCTAAGCGGAAACTGGGTTTTGCTGGTATAAATTTCCAGCTGGACAGCTTAGTACCCTTCAGAATACCCCATTTTGCTGTGTCGTTCTCATTGACAAGCTCCACTTCCATGAGTTTGATACAGGGACTATATGCTAGGTGATGCTCCATAACATGCTCTCTTTAGGTTGTTATAGCAGTCTCATTTGAACATAAACCCTAGAATTATGAGTTTCTAAACACAACATGACTAACTTATTTTGGTTTTTTTGGTTTTTTTTAGCAGTCTTTAGGAATGCATTCCCTTAATGACTTGAGATAAAACAAATGTACTGCTGTACTACATAATAATGAGATCACGATTTAGTTGGTAATTTTTTTAAAGGTCTGTTTCAGCTAATTTTGCTGGAATTCAATTGTTTTGTGACATTGTTTTTATTTTTCTTCTGAAGAATACTCAACTGATTTCCAACTCATTCTCACCCAGATTTCAAGCAGTGTATTGCTAATCACGTCTTTTCCCCTTCCTGACCTCACATTTTGGTAACTCCTACTCTGATTTCTGAACCCCAGGTACATACCAAGCCTTTAAAAAGGCTGCCTAGCCAAAACATGAAAACCATAGTGATGCAACTCAGCCATTACTCAAGGGAATGCCACATCAGTATAAAAGATGACAAGTAACCAATAATGAACAACACTGAATGAAGTCTGTCTCAAAGCTTCCATCTAAAGACAATGTTAGCTCCTAAACTGCATCCCTCTCTTCCATTCCCCAAGCCTATAGGACAGGCAAACATAGGTCTGTCATAATAGTCACGTCAGTCTCATCTCTGACAGGACTATAATTGGAGATGCTGGGAGTTCTTTTTTTGCTTTTTCTCATCTCAGATAATCATTTCAAAGAACAGTGCAGAATGTAGTGTACAGCACATTGTTTATGTACATGTCATCTTACATCTGAGACACTATTCTTAAATGTCTACAGCTGCGCCGGAGGAGTTTAATAAAAGTGGTTTAAAGAAGACAAAAAAAAAGTAAGGCAGTAACTGAAAGATGTGAAAGAAAACAAAGCAGCTAAACAGCTCTTTGGTATGATATTATTTATTGATTTTAGCTGAAAGAAAGTATTTCCAACTCAAATCAATAATTTATAGCAATATACCAGCGAAGTAGTATGGCTGTTCTTCCTGCATAAAAATGTGTGGTTCTGTCTATCAATAAAAACATGTGCCCCAGTGAGGATCCAGAAAGGGAAACAGATGCTCAGACTTTGCATCAGTGCCAGTGAATCAGCACTAAGCCCCAGCTCATTCTTTTGAATTAAATTCTGGGGGGAAAATATACCATGTGCACACACCAGTTTTACTAATTTACTGTGGCACTCGCTCAGGGTCTGGCTTAATTTATTTCAGTTTTTTACTCAAAGGTTTGTGAACACTTAAGAAATGTTTCCTCCATTAAAAATCAATAGAACAGACACTGATGCGCACAGCAAATCATAACACAATGTGCAGGATGCAGTGCTGAGGCACCTGTGGAACAGAATACTCCTCATTCATTTCTGTTTATTTTTAAAACAGACTGTAAATGTTTTGTTGATCTCAATTCTTATAATCCTCCTGGAATACTGCTGACCTTCTACCAGTGTAGCAGTGCTATTATTCACAGGTCACATTGTATTCTGTATGTGCTACACTAAAGGAAATAATCAGTTTCTGGCTAATATTCAAGGAGCTCTGATTTGTTTTGTAACACAATCTGATAGCAGTAACTACAAAATTTGGACTAAATTCTAACTGAGAAGCTGGAGAAAAAAAAAAGAAACTGACAATTCCAAAATTTCACAAAGCTAGCTGATCCAGACTGGAAAAATGACAACTAATTGCAATGGTGGGAATCAGAAAGATGCAGGTGGAACTTGTCATGAAATGGAATTTTTCCCCCCAAATGAAATACCAATTAAATTCCACTTTACATCAGAACTAAAAGTTAAAATGCACTTCTGAAAATCACCATTTGTATAAAGATGCAATGATTTTGCTCAAATAGAGATTTTTCATTTCACACTAGCACATTAAAAGAAAAAGTATAATTTTTGACTTCCTAATTCAAAACTAAAATGTTTAGTTCTGACTCTCATTATGAGAAAAATCAGTAACTGAAATTTTCTGCAAGGAAAATGCCAGTGAAAGCAAAACTAATATTCTCTAATGAGGAAATACCATGTGTAAAAATTGGGCAGTTAAAACTGCTTGGAAAATTCTATTATAAACATCCCCTGTTTTTAATAAGTTGCTGCAAAACTCCATACACTAGTAATGCCTGACAATCCTGACAAGTAACAACCCCTGCAGTTCCAGTACTCAGACTCTCATGAACTTTACTCACACTCATGTGTGCACTGCAGAGCTGAAGTCTGGATACATGTCTGGATACATATCTACCTGTGCTACTCCTAATTCAAGAAAGGTCTTTAAAATTCAACATCCAAGTTTCTACGAAAGTGTGTTTTTGCTCACACCAAAGCATTACATAGTTAGATTGCTCTGTAAGAAAACATTAATTGTCTCACATTTCCTGATGAACAAGAGCTTTTCCCTACCTGTCCATTGAAAGTTGTGCCACCAGTGTTACATCAGTGTTGTCTGAAGCAGGCTCGTATTCGTAATGTAGAAAATACAAATGAGTGCGATGGACGGTGAAACGTTCTCGACGAAACTCATAGCACAAGTCATCCTCGTCCAGCTCAGATAGCTGTTTCTGGAGCTGTAAGGAAAGAGTGGACATAAAGATATGTTCTTTGCAATTATTTTAGCAAGTCAGAGAGAACGACGAGGTTGGGAACTTGCAGCCTGCCTGATGCAATGGGGAATGGAAGCAGAACACACAAAGTAGAAGGGTTTTCCCAAGCCTTGCAAGTCAGTGGACAAGAGATTAGAAAAAAGGACTTGCAAGTAAACTCATAATACAGACAGACCGTTGTATTGCAGTCTATATATTGTATATATTACCTCTATTACATACATTCAATATCCAGACTAGCAATGAAACAGTGAACGAGTTGAATAATTGCAAAGTTTCAGAGTTAATGCTCCAATGTGATGCATAATTTCATCCTTACTAGAAGCAGTGTTTCAAACTACTCATAGACATACTCCACTAGACAACACTCCACAGCAGATTAATACTGCACGTGCTGCACTGAGCAATTCCCATTCTGCTGCCTCTGTTGGAGAAAAGTAACTGATGCTAGGAGCATGGACAGACAGCTGGAAAAGTAACATCTTTAACTGATAATTACTCCATCTCTTGAGATTTATGTATCTGCAGTAGTTCAATTTTGCAACAAAAATATTCTTTCAACTGCAGAAGTGGCAGAACTAAGCCTATACCTTTAATGGGATTTATGCTTCTGGATACTTAGTCTGAGAAATCTGGTGGATGGTGGATTGGCAGAGAACAGGTAACTTTTAGGCTCCCTTGAAAACCAAGCCCCTTCAAAGCCAAAATGGGCATCTCAAAGCAATCTAATCCCAAGTCTCTTAGACACACAGCTTTAAGAGAATAAAAGTTTAGCTCTTGGAAAAGGTGAAAGTGAAAAATAGACCAAAAGTTTATGTAGCTGACCAATTCCATTCCTGAACTAATTATTTGGGGGTTGGACTACATGATCATTAAAAGGTCCCTTCCAACTCAAACTATTCTATGATTCTAAGATTCTATGATTTTAAAGCCAAACATCTGGCTAGGTTATTTAAAATGCATTCACTTAAAAGAAAAAAACAGTCATACCTACTGAAAATGTAATGAAGATAAAAATTTTATATGGTCTTAACATGTGAAATTGAGTTCTATTTCTGTTGCTCTAGACTGCAGGTTACTAATAAAGACATAATTTTTATAATTAATTTCTTAAAAGCATCCTATAAGAAGAACAGTAAATGAGCAAAATATTCATCAGGAAACGTGAAAAATACTCATATAGGAATTTTACAAGTTTTGATAAAAATCACAATGTACCTCAAAACTGTTTCATGCAAAAGATTATTGAATTATAGACATCTTTTTGTCCTGCTCAGAATGATTTAAAGTAATAGTTTCACCATCTTCAAGAAAAAAAATGAAAAATGTAGATATTTTTTGTTCTAATACTGTGTTAAGACAAAGAGCTGTTGTTCTTGGAACTATAAACATAATGGTTGCCATTATGTTTACAATTGAATGTTTTCCTGTGAAGGCTGATGGAATAATTCCTGGTATTTTCCTGTACATCACTATATAATCTTCTTCTGAATAATGGAAATACAAACTTTGATTTCAATGAGTTTTGGATCAGACTGTCATTCTTCTGTGCTATTGTTCTGCACAGATCTTAAAACATCCCTCAAGAGGGACAGCTTTTAGAAAGATGAGAGTCCGAATCTTGCCAAATCTTTACTCATGCAAAACTTCTATTGAAATCAAGATCTCTTTAGGTGGAAAAGAAATCAGGAGTTTTTTTACATATCCTTGGAGTTTCATTCTTTCTGCTTTACTAACCATCATTCAGCTGAGCCTGCATTTTATTTTCTAAATCACATTCAAACAATATTTGAATAAATTCAATATTTACAATAATGACTAGAAACATATCATATCTTTCTGTTTCTTTCTTGAAAAGGGACCTTAGTATGCCTTTAACAGAATTATCAAGGAGATTAATGAAATTTAAATGGCTAAAACAACAGCAATCCACATTTTAAGGGTACCTTATTATCCTGCTGTATGTACAAATGACCAGGCTACAAGATCTTAATTGCACGGCAGTTATTAACCAGGTAGTCACTGAGTAATTATCAGATTGCATTTGGGTTGAAATTCAAGAGGCTATAAATACTTGAATATGAGTTCAAGAATAACATTTGAAGCTAAATTATGGCTTTGTGCACTACTGAGCCCTGGGTTGAGGCAGAAGAGGAGAGACAACTTCTTAGAGGCCCCACCATTTTGATGGTGAAACTCACCAAGTCACCAAGTTGGTGATGGAGGTGAAGGAGAGCAGCAAACAACAGAAGATCCCTTCTGCTACAGGGAAAAGGAACTCTTGCTCTTTCCACTACATTTTGTAGTGTCAAGGTTTTGTTTCTGTCCCTCTTCATGTCCAAAGAAGGGCAACAAAGCTGGTAAATGGTCTAGAACACATGTCAGCGGCTGAGGGAACTGTGGTTGTTTAGTCTGGAGAAAAGGACGTTCTGGGGGGACCTCATTGCTCTCTAAAACTACTTGAAAGGAGGTTGTAGTGAGGTGGGGGTTGGTCTCTTCTGCCATGTCTCAAGTGAAAGGATGAGAGGAAATGGCCTTAAGTTGTGCCAGGGGAAGTTCAGATTAGATATTAGAAAAGTTTTTATCACTGAAAAAGTGGTTAGTCACTGGAATAAGTTGGCCAGGGAGGCAGTGGAGCCAGCATTTCTGGAAGTGTCCAAGAGGTGTCTGGATATGGTACCCAGGGGTATGGTTTAGGGATGATCATGCTGGTGCTGGGTTGACAGTCAAACTAGATGATCTTGAAGGTCTCTTCTAACCTTGAATATTCTGTGATTCTATCCTGTCAGACCTCTTCTAAGGCTGAAGCTATGCTCATAGTCTGAGAGGTTTTCCTTGTCACTTCCCATGACACATGCTCAGTACTGTATGTACTGTATGTATCTTCCCCTAGAGAAGAGGTGAGATGACTGTGTCCATACCCTTGGAGAGAGTGGTTCCCAGAAGGACTGTGGGTATGATGTGGTCTCCTCTCCCCAGCCTCTGCCCCCAGCACCCTTCCATTGAGTGCAGGCAGGCTGCCAGGGGGAATCTCCAGCACAAGCTGTCTGAGAGCCCTGGATAATATGCAGGTATCACTTGGCAGGATCAGACACACAGCTCCATCATCACTTTGCAGGAATGCTTGTGCAATCCTTGCTGGTTCATACCATGAGCCTAAACTGCTAGGAAGCCTCAGGAGCCATACCCTGCTGGGCAAATGCAGTAGGGTGTGCCCGTTCAGGCAGGACAATCAGCACAGGATGGGCTGTGGTTTGCCCTGTAGCCTTGTCACTGCCTATACGCAGTGTGCCTTAAGGATGGATGGGCCTATCCCGCAATGATGAGGTAAGAGCAGTGAAATACAACAGCATGTGATTATCCATATGAAAATTCCTTTTCTACTGGAAACAATACTGGAAATATGAGGCACTCTGGATTTGGTCCAGCAAAACCCATAAGATCAGAAGTTATCTCACTGAAGCTAACAGTACAATATGGAGAAATTATTAGGACCAACAGCTCAGTGCTGCACAGTTTTATGCAGTTTAAGAGCCCTTTTCCCTCTCTCACTCATTCATATATACATTCAGATAACCATGCACCAGTATCACATATAAAGGTTGGTTTCTCTCTACTGTAATGGGACACATGCCACCTATAATTATATATTGCACACAGTCATATACCATTTTTTACACACAGATTTGAAATGAAGAATGTTAAAGATGCAAAACATTCAAAAGACAGGGAATCTTCTAAGACAGACACACATATACCCCTACATTTATCTCTGAGTTGCCTCATATTTTTTTTGTCACATCATCACATAAGATTTCTTTAATGATATAATCTTTTCTACAGCATGCATATTAAGTGGATCCATTATTTAAAGTCAAAGAACTTGTGGCTTTGTTTAAAGTTTGCTCCCAAATTATGTCTTCTTGAAAAGATGTGTTTATAATGGCAGCACTGACAGATGTTTACTTAAACACAGTGCACCACCAAAATAAGAACCTTAATATCAGCTGGATTTGATAAAAAGATGGCATTCCCACTATGGACCCCTCCATTATATTTATAATGGTATGCCTAATATAGCAAAGACTTCTCAACCCTAGAGTGACAGCAATTATTCTCATAAGCAAGTACCTGCTTAGCATAAGATTCTCTGTTTCTACAAGAGTTTCAATGCTAAGGCTACTTGCCACTGAGCATGTGGGAAATGTTACCTCTAGGAAACACTCTCAAAGATGAAAAATGTATTATTTTCAGACTGTGTATGGTAGATGTTCTCTTAGGAAATACTGTAGTTGGAAACAACACATTTTCATTAGCATCATGATGCTACATGTTTCAGAAATAAAACCAGCAGCTATGACATGCATAGTGCTAAAACAAAGAGACAAATACATAAAGAAATATAGGCTAAATTACTTCTCTGGGCAAGGAGCTGTTGTAGGAAATCAGGCTTCATCTCAGGAAAAGTAGTCTTTGAAGCTAGGCTGGCCAGAGAGGTGCGGCAGGCCAGAAGGTATTCGACTCTACCAGAGATTGCCATGATATTCCAGGTCTACTTGTCTAATACCTTTCTATGAGATGAGGTGTTTTCTATCCATACGACATTTGGTAGCCCCATATGATACCTGCCAACACAACATGTACCTCTCACTGGCAAACTGGTTAGTCTGCTCACAGAAATTCCTTCCTAAGGCTGTTCCTAGTGTAAGCAAATTTGTGATTGGCTTAATTTTTTTTCTAAACTACTGTGTCACAAAAACAATTTACTTCCCACCAAAATCTGCAGGACTTCATCTCAGATGAGATCAATTAAAAATCCAGGATCAGAAGTATTTTTGTAAGGATTAGATATTAAAAAAAGATCAAAGCCCATCAACAAACAATGTTATGTGTCTAGAGGCTATTTAGATCTTGGGTAAGGGGATAAAACCCGTAGGCATCTCGCTCTCCTCAAGTGTTTAAGG